TCCTCCTGAATCCAAATCATTCAATACACACTTCAATAAACATGGCTGAACATGGCTGACCCTGAAAAAGCTAAGCAGGGTCACAGCTGCTAGAAGCTTGAATGGGACCCTTCCAAGGTGTCCCCAGAATCGCAGTGTCTATAAGGGAGCTTCAGGCAAGAAAAGGAGGAAGCCTCCCCTGTCTGAAAGTTCTACTCAGCTGGAAGAGATGGACCAATGAGAGGTCAGGAAGGCAGAAGGAGGAGCTAGGCATGCAAATGGTTCCTGAAGCCAGTGGGGTTAATATAGGAAGCCCCCCATAAAGCTCACTTGCATTAACACATTGGCTCAATCTCCAGAAGCCCAAAAACTTCTCAACATGTTGGGAGCATCTCTCCTTGTCCTTCTGGGGGTCTGGTGCACAGGTGAGTGAAGGAGAGCCCAACACAAGACCTTTCCCCAAATACTGAGCCCAAGAACACACATTTATGGCATTATTCTTCCTCCAGGATCCACTTCGCAGCCTACAGTGATTCAGGAATCTTCCATGTCACCTTCCCTTGGACAGACCGCTAAACTGTCTTGTTCCCTGAGCAGTGGACAAGTAGCATCTTACAGCCTATCATGGCTTCAACAAAAAGAAGGAAGTCCTCCCAGATTACTTTTTTATTACTACAGCAGTGCCACCGCCGGCTCTGGAGACCTCAGCCGCTTCTCTGCCTCCAAGGAAAGCAACCAAAATAAATGGTATTTGACCATCAGCAACATCCAGCCAGAAGATGAGGCTGATTATTATTGTGGTGTGTGGTATCACCCTAGTAATGTGCTCCACAGTGATACAAACTCAAGAGGAACTGAGACCAAAACCTCCAAGGCAAAAAGGCGCAGCAGAATTTGGGAGTCCATTTATTAATTTGAGTTCTTCAAGCAAAAATCCTTTGCTTTTTTACTTCGGGCAAAATCTCCAGGAACGTGAGTTATATTACTGAATGGCAGAGAGAAGCTGGCTTCATAATCATCTATGATCATGGTT